AGCCAAAATCAAGAGTCTGTCACTCAAATGACTGAGCTGCCCAGGTGCCCCTTGGCCATACTTAGTAAGTGCAAAAATATGGTAATTGTACCCAGGGTAAGCACACCTGCCCTCGATTGGTCTAGGCTCAGACTGGGGAAGAGGTGGGGGAGTCAATAGGTCACCTGAGACCTCTGTGGCTGAGTGGCCCACCTTGCCTGCTGTCCCTGCTGAGCTTGTCCTATGGCTTGCCTTTGCTCTTCCCCTTTGTCTCTCCGCTGGGAAAGTAAAAGGAAAGAATGATTCTAGAGGATCGTTTTCTTGGAGCCAGGACCTTCTCTATGTGATATCACAGCTCCCTAGGGGTCTAGGCTCAGGTCATGTCTCTGTGGTACATTGGAAATATGTGGAGTGAGAGCTAGGGACATCAGGCTGGAATCCTGACTATGCCAAGCCAGCTGTGTGACCTTGGGCAAGGGATCAACCTCTGAGCTCAGATTTCTCATCTGTAAATCTGTAAAGGCTATTAATATCTCTTGTTTATAGGGTTGTTATAAGGATTAAATGAGAAAATGTTTGTGAAAGAGTTGTGTGGCACAAACTGCCATGCAAATCCTAATTACTATTGTTATGATCTGTTGTTCTAAATGACAGAAGAAATAATATCACGTCTCTTATCTAAGGGGATCCACAGCCTGTCCCCTTCCCCCCTCAGTTCTGCCCAGCCTCACCCAGTCACTGCACCCATCAGTGCATCACTTGTCCCCATAAGACCAGTCTCTTCCCCTGCCCCATACTTGTTCCTCTGGCTGTGTCTCTTAAGGGGCCCTCTTGCCTTGAAGGTCTCCTCTCTTCTCTGCCTGTCCATACTCACGTCCTTTAATATCTAACTTCCATTCTACCTCCTCTAGATTTTAACTCTGACAAAGAGGGTGGGTGAAGACCAGTTTGCCCTCTTCCCCAAAATGAGCTACCTATAGCCCCCAGATCCCAAGACAAAGTTATGCTCAGTTGTGGGTAGATCTGGGTGAATGATGATGATGGTGGTGATTTATAAGATTTAACAGTAAGAGCAGCTAACATTTGTGAAGCACTTCCCATGTGCCAGGCACTGCGCTAAGCACTTTACATATATTAACTCATTTATGGAGTGCTGGCTGGCCATATGGGATTAAACATCTGTCTTTGCCTCCGGAGCCCAGCATAATACCACTTCCTTGGTAGGGCCTTCCCCACTGGCCCCAGGCAGAATTAATATTTCTGCTTCCATGCCCACAGTGGTTGCTCTATTATTGACTTAATTTCACTAGCTTTTAATTATTTATCAAAGTGTCTCCTTCCACTCTGTGAACATCTTGAGGGCTAGGCCCTTATTATATTCATCTTTATTCATTTTGGTATCCAACAGTGACTGTCACATAGTTGCTGCTCATTAAATGTTTGTTGAATGAATGCACAGATGGATGTGATAATTAATACCATCTCCCCTGATATGCATGTGATTTTATAAGCTACTCTCACCAAAAGGCCATTTTCCTGATCTCACACTTGAGAAGCATTCTAGACCAGTGCTACTTCAAGCATGTTCTGTCTGAAAATAATTTGTTGTCAGTCCATGACAAGGTAAGTGCAGAAGTTGACAGTAATCGTCTAGAAAATTTTAGGTAACTTGACAGAGCAGTTTTATGTCCACTGGATCTAATACCTTTAAAAATTGGGCTTTTATTTTGTCTGTTTTTATTTGTTATTTCTTTTTTCTAATAAGTTATCCCCACTGTATTTTACGATCATATCATTCAGCAACAGATTGAAATTTAAAAATCAAGAAGCGGTTTTTCTGCACAAGTAGCCTGAGAAGTATGGCTCCAGACCATCAACTCACTAGGATACCCAGAGATAAAGCCAGAAGAACCCCACAGGCAGAAGGGGCGTGCTCAACCCTCCCTTGCCAGATCCCACCCATCACTGCTTGTTCACATCTGTCTCTCCTAATGCTTGGAAGGACATGGAAGTGTCTCTTATTCCTGCTTAAATTCCTCATTTTTCTCCTTTCTTCCAAATCTGGCAGGTTAAATGAATGAAAACTGACTCTGGTCTGGGCATGGACAGGAAGAGGAGAGGGCAAAGGAGGGGTCAGAAGAGAGTCTGGGAAGGGAATGGTCAGATAGAGCAGGGAGCTGCCCTTAGGAGGGTGGGGAGGCTGCTAAGGAGACCACCCTGAGCTGTCAGGTGGGGTGGCTGGAGCAGCTGGGGCTGAGATGGAGGAAGAGCACAGAAGGCTTTGAACTGGCATCTTCACCCAAATCAGCAGATAGAGCCAGGCTCTGGAGGGTGGAAGGAAGCAGTTTCAGGACAAATGAAAGGGAATATGGAATCCTTTTACAGAAAATATGTTAAACAGGAGGCTCTCATAAATCCCCCCAAGCAAGTGGTCAAGGCCAAAACTATAAATAAATAGGTAATGGAGTGATACAGAAGGCCCCCTCCTCTCACCCCAGGGTGGGAATGGAGCGTAGATGTTAAGTCAGTGAAATCAAGACAGTCAACATGGGGGTGGGGGGAGGAACTGTACCATCATTAGATGCTCCTTTAGAAAAAGAAGGTCTGAATCCCACACCAAAAAGGCAGGAAGGGCAAGACTTCATTACAGCTTAATTGATGGCATTAGCATATTTAAAGATCAGGTCAAGGGGAGGACAGTGGGACTCAGAAAGGAAAAATTTGCTGGTGTTTATTAAACATTCAGAAACACAGAATCTGGAAATCTGGAGCTGTCTCGTCGCTGGAGACTCAGCTGTAAGGTTGGGCAGGGCTGAAGAGCCAGGCCTTAACAGGGCCTGGGCAAACCTCCCTGAGGGCCCACAGGCTTCCTCTCCTCTGATTCCACAATCCACTGCCGCTGTGGCCTTCTAATCAAGAATTCTGCTCCCATAAAGAATTGCCTAGAAAGGAGGGACCATGAGGCCCATACATTTGAGCATCAGGTCCATTCAGTGATGATGATAATGATGATGATGGTAATAGTGACTGAAGCTAACCTTCCCTAAGTCCATGCTATGTGCCCCAAACCATTCCAAGCCATTTACAAATATTAACTCACCTAAACCAACCTACAACTCTGTGAGGTAAGCATTCCTATCCCTATTCCATAGATGAGAAAACTGAGGCACTGTTAAATAGTTTTTCAGGTTTATACAGCTTGTAAAGTGGAAGAGCCAAGACTCAAGTTCAGGCTCGCTGACTCCAGAACCAGCACTAGGCTAGACCACTTCGCATTTAATTTTTGTCGAGAATGATAACATTGGCAATCTGGCTGGTGCATCCATCTCTTTTGGGCTTGGTTGGCATGAGTGTCCTGGTTTCAGCATGACCAGCTCTGCAGCCCTAACCTAATGGGGGGGGGGATCTGCAAGACTCAGGACTGTGTGCTTCATCTAGAAAGTGCCACCCTGTGTGGCTAAGCCAGTGTGACCAGCTGGCTTCCAGGGCAATGACCCTCCCCACTTCAGCCCCCAAACCCTTTCAGGGCCCAGTCCTCCAGGCACTTTGAGCTGGGAATCAGGCACCTGAGTACAAGGCTCACCAGTTATGGGACTTCGGGCATCACCAGTCTGCACCTCAGTTTCCCCTCAGATTCAAACTGCCTGTTGAATCACACCACCTTTTACAGTAGCTCCCTTTCTGAGTGAAGAATCAGCTGGACCCATGAACATGCTGGTTCTTGCCTAATGTAATGAGAAGTGAGTGGAAAGGAGGAGGGCGGATGTGTGGGCGCAGCAGTGCATGGAGTCCAGGGCAGTTAGGTTCAGAGTTTGATTTCAAAGCCGATTCTGCGACCATCCTCCATCCTCCGCCAGGGAGTCCTCGGGCTTGCTCTGAAGGAGCTTTGTTGCCGCTGCAGGCTGAGGCTTTGCCGGGTGGCTCCACCTCTCTCTTCAGCTCCCCGGTGGAGGAAGCAAGGGGTAGGAGAAGTCAAAAATTCTGTCCAAATGGAAGGGCTGGAGAAGAAAAACTTAAGGGGCTGGAGGAGGTGGGAGCTGCTTCCGGAGCTGGGCGTGGAAGTGGGGAGCTAGGGAGCCGCGCAGGTGAAGACCGCGGGGCCCCGCGGGGCGGCTGACCCCTCCCCCGACGGTTCGGCCGGCAGGGGGCGCTGCGGCCTCCTCCACGCCCGGCTCGCGGGATGCCTCGCTGCTGTCCCCGCCACCGTGCTCGGATGCCAGCGGGTCCTGCAGGGCACTGCCGTCTCCCCTTCCCCTTAGGGTTCCGAGCGTCAGCCCCTTGCCTGGGCCAAACTGGGCTGGCGCCTAGTTTGTGGAATGAATGAATGAATGAAAATGAGCGAACGGCTAAATGAGAAGGATTCGTCCCGCAGAGCTTCGCGTCTCTGCGGGCACCTGGTGTGTGGGTGCCAACGACCCTGAGGGTCAGATGCAGCTCCCGGCCCCGCTGGAGTGGGGGCGGCGGGGACCTTCTCCGGGCCGTTGGGGGGGGGGGCGAGCTGCCCAAACGCAGTTCCCAGCTCACCCGGTTTCCGCGGCGCCTCTGCTGGGTCTGCCCTATTCTACAGTCTCCAATCCTCCCGCTCTCACGGACTCACCTGAGCCCCCCCGATGCCCCCCAGGCTCCCTGGACTTGCCAAGCCCCGACCTCAGGCCACGCGCGAGGCGGGAGGCAGGAGGCGGGAGGCTGCTCGGTCCCCCGCCCCCGCCCCCCCATCCCGGGCTGCGGCGGCCGCCACCGCTGCCTGCGCGTCCCGCCGCCTGCCGCAACCCCGCGCGCAGGGAAAGGGGGTCAGCACCGCCGGGCGCGGGGAGCCCGCCGGGGAGGGGAGGGGAGGGGAGGGGGCGGAGGAGCCGACGGGGAGCGAGCCGAGGGGCGCGGCGCGGAGGAGGGACCGGAGGGGAGGGGACAGGAGGCTGGAGAGGGGAGGGGACGCCAGGCGAGGGGGCGGGGAGTCGAGGCGGGGAGCTGCGCGGACCGAGGGGGAGGCGGCGGGGACGCCAGGCGGCTGCCGGCCCGGCTGAGTCAGGAGACGGCGGCGGGACCTGCCCGGGGTCGGCAGCGCGGGAGCCGCGGGAGCCGCGGGGCCGGGCCGGGCACCTCGGCGCCGGGCAGCGACACGGGAGCCCGGCGGCCCAGCCCGCCCCAGCCCGCCCCAGCCCGCCGCGGCTGGCCGGCCCCCCTGGGATGTCCGAGGGACCCCGGCGTCCGGGACGGTGACCGAGCGAGCCCGACGATGGGACGGCGCCCGCAGCTCCGGCTCGTCAAGGTAAGAGCGAGCCGGTCCTCGCTCGAGCGCGGGCGCCCCCATCCCGGCTGCGGGAGCGATGGGGGTCACCGGGAGGGCTGGGCACGGGTCCCCGTCCCTGGACCTCTGGAGCCGGCGTGGCGGGGGCGGGGAGGACTCCGGAGGAAAAAAGGCAGCATTGTGGCGAAGCTGCTGGGATGTTGACGGAGGAAGGGGTCCGCCCCGCCGGGCCACTGGCTCCGTGCGGAGCATCGCTTGCGGCTGGGGGAGCGGGAACTTGGTTCACCGCCCCCTGTCCGCGGTGCAGACCCCGACCTCGGTGCTGGAGGATCTGGAGAGGGGCTGGCTCCCCAGCGGCCCCAGCACCCTCTCGGCGGCTCCCCCCCTGCGCCCGCCCCCGCTCCATTCTGGGGAGCTCCTTCCTGCCCCTTCCCCTGCTCGGAGAGCTGCGAGTCGGGGAGATGAATGCCCCCCGTGTCTCCCAGCCTTTGGTCCACATCGCGCTCTCCGGGGAGGAGTCGGAGCACCGGCGGCGGCCGCGGTTCCTGCGCTGCGGCGGGCGGGCTGGCGCCCCGCGCTCGCTGCCCGAGCCCTGCCCGAGCCCTGCCCTCGCGGGTCCCCGCGCCGCGCCCGCCGCCGCACCCGCCTCTCCTGGGCCCGGGCCGGCGACGCGATCCCGGCGCCCCGACTTTAGGAAAAGTCACCGGACCGCACATGCAGTGTTTGCCGGCTGAAGTTCGGGGGCGACCCGGAGTGCCCGCGGGCTGCGTCCGCCGGGGCAGGGGGCAGGGCCGGGGTGTCGTCGGTCCGGCCCGCGGGTGGCTGCAGCCGCCACTCCCAGCGCGGAGCGCGTCCCTAAGCGGTTGGGCTCGCCGGGTGCAGGCGCGTAAGCGGCACCGGAGGGAGAGGTCGGTGGGCCCCGGCCCCGCTGCCCGGCGCCCCGGCCCGCAGGGTCGCTGCGGACGACCTGGGCTGCAAACACCGACACCGGCTTGACCCGGCTCAGGGCGTTTAAAAGCGATTACATTGAAAAGAATCGAATGGATTTGGGGGAGGGGTGCGGATTGACTGAATTTCATTTTTCCATCAGTTATTAAACCAACTGTAGGATATACCAGCTCACAGTGGTTTGAGTGAAACCACCAAAATTTTAAAATGTAACAGCTGCCAGTTGGGCAGTGGAGACGTTTACCAGTTACCGAGGCTGTCTCCAGCCTCTCTCCCTCCCTCCCCTCCCAAATATTTATCCGAGGTTTTTAAAAACAAAACGGCTGAGGGTTGGTCTGATTGAACCCGTATCCCCTCCCCCACCCGTTAACTGAGGACCAGGGTGAACCCAGAGACTTATTTTCTGGGTAATCAGGGGACGGGGGAGGGAGGGAGGAAGAAAAACATCGAGGGAGATTGAATAGATGGTATTAAAAGGGGAATATTTTCCGGAAGGCTAGTGTGTACCCAACCTTGCTCTGAATTCACTAATCAGACTGAATTGGATCTTTTAAATGGATTCAAAGAATTGAACTATAGGTTTGGGTTTTTTGTTTTTGTTTTTGTTTTTTTTTAAGATTACATGGTAATAGGTAAATGTTCTTTCTCCGTTCTTTCTTAGAATCCTGTGCCATTCTCTGCTTAGAATTGTCACGTTTTTCTAAAAGAAAAGAAAAAGACTTTTTTTTCCCCTGTTGTTATTTCGTGTGTGTTTCTCCTACTAGATGGTGAGGTGTGTGCCCTTTATGTCTGGCCTAATGAACTCAGTAGGTGTTCAGTAAATACCGAATGAGTAAGAGGCAGTGAATGAATGGGCAGCTAATGCTGGTTTCAATTAAATAATTACTTTTTTCTTCTATTTATTAGCATGTACGAGTTGCTGGCTGTTGTTCTACCTGCTTTGCAAATATTAAGTCACGTAGTCTTCATAACAGCCCTAGGATGTAGGGATTATTACTGAGGCACAGAGAAGCTAAGTAACTTATTCAAGGTCACACAGCCTAGTGAGTAGTGGGACCAGAATTCAAACCCAGGCACTGTTGTTCCAAGGGTTTGTTTTGTTAGCTTCAATCAGCGAATATTCTAAACCACTTAAATCTCACCCTAGACCTCTGCCAGATGAGAGCTCAGGTAGTTCTGTCAGTTTGAATCTAGGGGAGTTAATCCAACATCCAGCTTGGTCCCCAGCAGGTCAGCCAGCGTTGGGAAAGGACTCACTCTGGGGCCCTTATTGTGAGGCTTGCACTGCCCTGGTTACAGGGGGCTGGGGGGAAAGTGGATGCAGAGGAAGAGACCGTGAAAGACTGTCTCTGCCTCCAGGAGAGAGGGAAATTGAGCACCTCTGGGTCAGCTACCATCAGCTGCAGCTCCTCGTAGGGAGACCTGAGTGTGGCTCCCAATGGTGGGCTCCAGGTGGGCTCCAGATGTGAGGGTGGAGAAGGCAAAGCCTAGAGGGATAGAAAGGAGATTGAGTTCTGAAGGCGGCGCTGGTTTTATTATTGCTATTATTGTTCTTATCATAAGAGCAATCTAGCAGTGTCACACAAAGTCTAGAAATCAGAGGGAGCAATTATTACGTCCTTACCCTCCTAACACAGCTGTGCGATCATTTTTGAGATAATCCCTGTAGGCCCTTTCTCAAGTGCAGGTTTGGGCACTCTCGTTACCATCGGGCACATCGTCTTACTGTGTCACGGCCCACGTCTGTCCCATGTGATTCCCGAGCCTCCAGAGGGAGCTTGTCAACACCTGCATGTTGCCTGCGAGTGGATACACTTTGGATCCTATACTGGCACGCATTTGGACTATTTCAAGTTCTTTTTTGACAGATAACATGGAGCCACTTTTTGAGGGGACCATTGGCAGGAGGGCAAAAGAGTGAGCCCAGGGTGGGGCCGTGGGCTGCCACAGACCAGGTACAAAGTAGGAGAGCGGGGCTGAAAGCCAGCCGGGGCCCTTCGGATTCTATATAAGTCTCCAGGGGGAGGTCAGTCCAGTTTTCAAGGAGGGTACAGACCCGTGGAAAATCAGGACACTGACCCAGAGCCAGTGAGGATCAGCTCAAGTGGAAAATCCATTTCTCACCCTCTCTGACATTTGCTCCTCAGAGAGCATCAGCAGCCAGCGGGGTTCAGCTGCACAGAAGAAGGAGTTTGGGGGGTCCACCGTGCCCCTGGCAGCACTCCAGGTGCCCATGACACATGCCGTGCCCACAATGTGTGCCAAGGCCATGGACCCCGGCCCCAGCCATGGTGTGGCCTGGAAGGAAGGTGTTAGGCACAGGGCCAATTATTTCAGCAGTTTTGAGGGTTGAAGGACCCCCAAAGGGATTTGGCAAACTTGACTTCGGTTTTAACTGTGCCTCCAATCAGCTGTGTGACTTAAGGCAGGTCACTTTCCCTGCCACAGTTTCTCTGTCTGTAAACAGGGGTAAACAGGGGTATTGAATTAGATTCCCTGGTACCTTTCACATCTCTGTGCAAGATCTGTTTCCAAACACTCCTTAGAGCCATGACCTTACACAGGAAGAGTGAGGTGCAGCAGATTCACTTCCCAGCTCTGTTCCTCCCCAGCTGTGGGACCTTGGTACTTGGACTCAGTACCCTGTGTGAGCTTGAGCATCTCCAGCTATGAAATGGAGGCAATACCTACCCGCAAGGTTGAGGTAAGGATGAGAGGGTTCATATGCAGAAAGTACCTGAAATAGCACTTGGCACAAAGTTTGTTTTCAGAAAAAGTTGCAAGGTGATTGCTCTTCACACGAAATGGGATAATGCAGGAAAGCAACTAGGAAGGGCCTTTGGATGCTCAATATATAGCATTTTTGCATCTTTCACTTTTCACAGCACCGAACCTGATAATCCACTGCACGTAGTAGCCATTTCACAAATGTTTGTTGATTGGATGGATGGCATTATTGTTGTTCCTTCCAGTTTACTATTGTATGATCAGAGTGGATCTGTTGCTGGTTCCCACGAGATGCAGATGTCATGTCAAAACCACCGTAGCAGAAAAGCCATCTCAGGGCACCTGGGTGGCTCAGTCAGTTAGGCATCGGACTCTTGATTTTAGCTCAGGCCCTGGTCTCAGGGTCTTGAGATCAAGCCCTGCGGACTCCGTGCTGGGCATAGGAGCCTTCTTGAGATTCTCTCTCTCTCCCTCTTCTTCTGTCCCTCCCTACCCCCCCCTTTTAAAAAAGGTGGGGGGGAATCCCTGGATGGCTCAGCAGTTTGGCGCCTGCCTTTGGCCCAGGGTGCAATCCTGGAGTACCGGGATGGAGTCCCCGCGAAGGGCTCCCGGCATGCTTCTCCCTCTACCTGTGTTTCTGCCTCTCTCTCTCTCTCTCATGAATAAATAAATAAACAAATAATTTTTTTAAAAAAAAGGAAGAAAAAGAAAAGAAACAAAGAAAAGCCATGCCTAAAAAAAAAAAAAGGAAAAGAAAAAAGAAAAGCCATGCCTGATGCAGAAAACTGGAACTGCCCCTTAAGCCCACTATTTAAAAATGGAAAGGAGAAAGGCAGGCAGGCAGAGAGCAAGCAACAAACAGCCAACGCAGCACCCCAGTGATTTAGAGGATCCATGGAGGGTAGAGCCTTGGCTCTATCACCTTTGCTGTGTCTGGAGGACAGCTAGTTGGTAGCTGGGTGACCTGGGGCCTTTCGTGTTTCCTTCTCGGTGCAGAGAGAGGTGGGGTGATCAATCCCAGCTCTGACTCTCCTCTAATCAACCATGGAATCAACGAAAGGATGAGTGAGCCCATTTTGGAGCTAAGGCCAAGTCTCATTTTTAGCTGTAGTTTTACATTCAAAGAATGAATTTCTTAATTACAAATGACTCCTGTTTACTTAGATTCTCAGAGTCCCTTGGAACTAACATCACCGAGTCCTTTCTCAGCGCTTGTCTTCAGACTTGCTCTTGGCCGGCCAGCCCTCACTTCTGCCCAATGTGGCGGTCAGCATCTTCTTGCACGGGTGGGAACATCAGGTGAAGCAGATGTGGGCTCCAGGCAAGTTAGGTTATCACTCTGAACC